GCGGCATACCATGAATATGTGAGAAATTTCCTAAATCTAGCCGGACAGAACTATGTAAAAATGGACAAGCGACAGTGAGCAAGGAATGGGGTCTCGTGTGTACACGCAAAAGTTGAGATTATGAGCTGTTTCATATGAGGCGGGGCGTTCAACCATATTTTGGAAAGGAAATATGAAATAAGCTTCTATCGGCTGTATTAGCCTCGTGGTAACCTCGAGCAGGGTGTCAATCCTTTCACCTGCTTTTGTAGATTTAAGGTGCACTGAATAGCTTTCTGGTCTTCGAGTCCACTATCACCAGCGCCCCTTTCACCTGCTTTTGTAGATTTAAGGTGCACTGAATAGCGTTCTGGTCTTCGAGTCCACTATCACCAGCGCCGGTGTTGGTAAGTCCGGAGCTGTTATGCACCATCGCACCCAATCTAGCATCAGCACCCACTCTAGCATCATCATTGCTCATCATATGCATTTTCCCTCCCGGACCTCCAAATTTTGTGCACGGAGGAATCAATCTCCCACTCGGTAACAGGTAGGCAGGTAGGAGGTATCAGCAAAGGCATTAAAATAAGAGCATTTTCTAGTCCTTAAGGGAAAAATTCTATGTAATGCAAAAACTCCGTCCCCCATAAAACCCGATCCCTAGCCTCTCGCACTTGAAGCGTCACGCTTACCACTACACCAAGCCGAGTTACACTTCCCTGGTGAGTTGCCGGACACTGGACTTCCGAATGGTCTTCTTTAATTAGATGCACAGTTTACGATAAAAATGGTTCCCAAATCTCCTCCTGGGATTACCCAGTAGCCCCAAGGGTAACACAAAGGTCACTGTCGGTTCGAAAATCTCAATAGGTAGGGCGTAATAGGGGCCAATTACCAGATTCGTCGACGTGCACACCCATCGACAGATTTTATGTCAACTGTGCTGCTGATTCGCACCAGGACCCACACGTTCAGCATGCAATCAGCTGACCGCTGAAGGGTGCGGGTATGTTTTACTCTTATTCTTTAAACTGTTATTCTTTTTGCTGCTACGTCCATTTTTTTAGTATTCTACCTTATGAGGTTAAAAAAGGGTTAGTTTTGCTGTTAGACATGTTTTTGCTGACTTACGACTAGAGGTAACGACAGCAAGAGGCATTTTTGCTTACTGTAGTCAGCTTTACGTAATGACACACACTGTGTAGCTCGTCCAAACACCTCGTTTACGTCATTTTTTGGTCTTAATCTCGTCACGCCCCGTTTTTAACGACTTCTTGAAGCTTTTTATCTTTTTGGAAACGCGATTTTCGTGGTTTTTTGTCTCCATCGCACTATTCTCCACCTTCTCTTTCATTTTTCTCCATAATATGGATAACCCAAAGTTATCGCGAACTGTGCCTTTAAATGTAGAAAAGCGAACAAAGAGTGAATCAGCATGCATGCCACTGCCACCTTGACGTAAGGTATAATAGTTGCAAATCACAGATGATTTTATAGTTGTTTTTTGATGGGATGAGAAACTGATGATACCCACTGCTATCAGTGGAGTGAAAAGTACCGATAAACAGCTCCGAGGTTGGTTTCATTTTTACTTTGCCAGCTATCGCGAACTGTTGCTGATCTCTGTGGAAAGTAGGAAAGTAATCAATGTGGTCGTTCTTCAGACGCGACAAGCGCAAATTAGACCACCTGAAGAAGGATATTGACATAGTAAGTTATCTCAGTAATCAATGAAAAAAAGAGCTCGTATTACCTACCTGCTTCTGTTTGTTGATGCAGGATTCGGCTTTTTGAAAATCATACTGTGACAGGTGGAGCAGCAAGCTTTTCAGGATGACCACAAAATCCCGTTGGAGGAGCTTCTTCATCGCTTGAAAACAGACAAGGAATCGGTAAAGATGGGATTGAGTTCAGATTTGTGCTAGCAGCAACTTGACCGCTGATTTGAGCAGTTTTTAGGGTCTCACAGCAGATGAAGCAGCCGAAAGATTGAAAATGTACGGACCCAACAAGTTGACCCCACCTTATAAGACGCCGACATGGATTAAGCTTCTGCAAAACCTTTTCGGTCTGTTGTTCACATGAAACTTCGAAAAGTAATTCCGTCGCAGGTTGAAGACGAAATTGTTGTTTCTCAAATATAAGAGAAAGTCAGACGAATAGGGAACGACTTTTTGACAATTGGAATTGTATCAGTCTTCAATCGCACAGCAGGGCTGATCGGTTTTCGACTGGTGATGAATGTAAATCTACTGATCGATTAGAATGATAGGTGAAGAAAAAATGAAGATCTCCGCAAAGCGGAGTGGTGCTTCAGAGCGGAAGGCATCAGGGAGCATTTGCCTTCTGTTTCTCTGACAATGGGGCGCAATATTGTCTGCGCGCATTTTCAGAATGCACAACGTGACCCCCTAGCTGAGCAAACCTTTCTCCGTATGAGACGCTCACTAGACGCTCCGGTCCCTTTTTCTTAGAGGATTTACGCTAAGCGTGTGAGTTCGAAATAGAGGAGGCATGTCATCACGGACTATGCTATATTCACTTGAAAGGAGTGCGAGCAAGAACACAAATCAAACGCGGCTGTCGAGAACAAGTTCAAGATAATAATCTTTCTTCTTTACTGAGCTTCTCTTCCACTGGAAGAGCTTTAGCGGGTTAGTAACCAGGCTACATTGGGCAGCAAAAGGTGGCGGGTAGGGGACTGAGTCGTCGACAGAAAGTCACCCGTACTTGCCCTAGGACACAAGTAGATCCAGAATATGATCTCCCTGTTCGTACTGTGCTGGGTCGCCGTAAACCTTGTGTATCTCTCAGTATAACCATGAATACGTGTGTGAAGAACGTGCGAGTACGCTTGGCATCCCGCTCTTCTTCAGCCAGAAGCTTGCATTTGAGTGAATGAGTATCTAGGAGGCTATTCGTGGCTACCTCCAGAATCAAAGCCCCTTTTTTCACTGGGATAGCTGACTAGCACCCGGAGTGAATCCGGCCCCTGGATTTAGAGCATGGCAAGCTACTCGTTGGGTACCTATTTCCTATTAGCTATTTGCCAAAAACAGTAATACGAATCGGAATCATTCCCCTGAACATGAGGGAAGACCAATACGGCAGCGTTGGGAAGGATCGCTCGGGAAAGGGTGCTTAAATCTCAGCGCCAAAACAGGCTGCCCAAAAGAAGAAGGACCGAGATGTTGATCTGTACTTTCGATACATGGGTGTTTCCATCAGAAGCGTGTATAGAAGACCTGATGATGCAAGTTAGAAAGATCAAGTACGACGTCATCGGACTGAACAAGGCGAGAAGGCATCGCTAGCTGCACGCTGTATTTGAAACTGGAGAAGAACTATTACAGAGAAGACCACACCTTCTTCAAGGTCATCGTCGATGATATTAATGCCAAGATTGGCCCCAGAATAACGGCTGAAACGGCTCCATTTTGGGACTCATGGAATGGAATGAGCTGGGTGTGAGGCTGTCCTTGTTCATCATGTTGACCAACAATATCTGTGGCATTGCACAGATAGTAATTTGCGATGGATATTGGGGTCACCTGGTGGGTAGACCCATAATGAATAACGGAATAGATCCCATCACCTTCAGCCAAAAGCTCTGCCTCACTGACGTCGCTGTGTTCCGAAATTATGCGCGGGATCGGACCATCGTCTCCCCCTCGTTAGATTCCACTTCTCAGAGCGTGGAGAGAAAGCTATGAAGTTCAGGAAACGACGCCCCAAGACCTCTATCAAATGCGGTCACTTCGCTTCCCTTGCGAGCGAATGGGAAAGTTCCGATATCAACGACTTCGGCGAGGAATACAGCCTGCTCGTCGATCATCTTCACGATATTGCTAAGAAAGCAGAGATCTACATGTAGCCAAGAAACGACTTCCTTCGAAGTCTGGAGCTGGATGAAAATGTAGGTAGGGAGGGTACCCATCCGAAGGTTAGTGTATCACGAAGTGAACTCAGTCCAACGTGTTAATCCTTGTCATATTAGCACTGTATCAGAAGCGAAGGGGTTGATGGGCAACGACCATCTGTGCTCTTTTGACGGTATTAGCTAGGAATATGTAGTTTTTTAAACTAGGCCTAAGTAGGGTGAGAGCACCTGGGTAGGTGGGATAATTACCTCGTGCGAAAAGAAAGAGAAAAAGAACGGAAACTTGCTTACCGCAGTGCTCCTTCCCTCATAAAGCTTAGTTAAAAACTGGTATGCCCCCGATGTACTATAACATGGCATAACCGTTTCATTGAATTCATTCCTTGTTATACTAACATTGTGATAGGGCCCCCGCTCCACCTCCGATAGCATTAGATCAGATCACCTTAAGAACCTGCCAGTGATCGCCGAAACTGCTTTATGACTATGGGTCTGTTTATCACGTATTACCCTCTGAAAGCAAAGTTTTCACTTCACGGTAAACGAGCAATACTACGTTGAAGTATCAGAATGGAGAACCCGACGATAGTGGCAACCATCGCCTAAACTACATGCTCTTTTTGATCTGAAGACTTCACAGACGTTATCCTCAACAGGATTGGCAGGATAACAGATGAAAGACAGCCATGCGAGCAAGCAGGGTTGCGGACAGGGTCAGCACAGCCGATCATATCAACACTCTTATAACTCACTGAAGTATCGCGAGAGTACAAAATGCCGTTATATCTTACGTTCATCGATTTGAAGAAAGCTTTTGATACCGTCGAGACAGAAGCGGTAATTGGAGCCCTGGGCAAACAGGGTGTTCCTACTCCGTACATAAGGATGCTTCGAGAGCTCTGCGCTAATTTTACGAGCAGGAGTTCGACGTTCCATACGGAATTCCTTGTCAACGTAAAGAGATGCGTTCGGTAGGGCGATATCATCCTGCCTAAACAATTCAGTGTCGCTCATTGTCGCAGAACATCATCCATCTCACTAAACTTATGCGGTTCACTTATTACGTTGTGTTTGATAACAGCAACGTAAACTCAAGCATTCAGGAGGCTTCAATATGCTACTCTGGATCGCATCCCTAGCATCAATGGTAGGGTACTTTATGGAGAAACAAGAATATGGGGAGGAAACAAAGGCCGATAATGTAGGCTATTAATTATTGAATCATTTACGAATATGAATCAACTGTTGTTAACAGTGCCATGAACTTCAAGGCTTTTTTGATGAGTCAATTGACATCATTGACATCATAACTCAGCTCATCTAGACATATAATTCTGCTCGAACAGATTTAAAAAAAAAACACCACTGGAATTAGCTCATAATTGCCAAACGTCTGAGTAATGAATGGATGCCGTCATGCCGGGAGCTTAGATTACGGGAGTCGTCAAACTGAAGCAACAAAGCTTCTTGAACGTCCTCCATCTTTTGACAATCGTGTTGGCATACATGTGCGTCATGAGTCTAATAAAGATGGTGGTCCGAAGGGCAAGGGTGGGGGACAGGGTAGATAGGTTACGATTAACGACGCAAAAATCTACTTATCCATATGGATTCAAGTCTACGTAGATATGCATATATTTTGTGAGACACTAAAAGAAACCCATGCCTCAAATCTAAGAATAGACTTCTAGAATGACATGAGATCGACTATGATCGTCCCGCACTTGTAGAAATCTTGACGGGGAATGTTGCGGCATGAAATCCATAAATAGTTTTGCGACAACATAACAGAACCTGATAGATGGTTTTGAAGCTGTACTTGGCCATCACGTTGGCTACGGTCGTGACTATCACTGGACTGTTCTCATTTTATCAAGAAGCAAAGAGTGGAAACATTATGAGTTCCTTCGCCAACATGATTCCGTCGATGGCACACGTGAACTTTTTTAAAGATTTCGAACCGTTTCCATCTTTGCGGAGTGCGCAACCCTGGAATTCAGGTCATTCGCGATGGACGTATAATTGATGTGAAGGTTGACGATGTTGTACTTGGAGACATAGTGGAAATTAGCGGCGGAGATAAGGTTCCTGCCGATATCCGTATATTCCAAGCAAGAGGACTCAAGGTCAGAGTAAAATCACAGTTGCAGGGTGGTGATCAAAACGAATTTTTAGAAAACTGTAGGGAATTGCCTTTGGCGATTGGCTCTCGCTCCAGAATTAATACGCAGTCAAAAGTTCAGGAACTTCCAGGTGGATAATTCATCGCTGACTGGTGAGTCGGAGCCGCAAACGCGATCACCAGAATTCACTCACAATAACCCGTTGGAGTCAAAGAATGTGGCAATGTTTTCAACAAACGTGCTTGAAGGAAGTGGTAGAGGCGTCGTCATTCTAACGGCCGACAACACGGTAAGGTCTCTCAGNTTATTTCCTTGTTACGGCAACTACATATATCACGATTTTTCAAGTAGATTTACTTCATTTCGTGCTTATTCCAATCCAATCTCCTTGACATTTTCTTCTTTTTGGACTCGTTTTTCTTAGGTGGTGGGTCGAATAGCTGCTCTCACTGCTCAAGTCACATCAGGACCAAGTCCTATCGCCAAAGAAATATATCACTTCATCCATGTTATTACTTTTGTGGCACTTGGCGTTGGAGTAACCTTCTTCGTGTTATCAATCATCTACGGTTACACCTTAATACAGGTTCGTGTTCGAGTCCCGATTTCTGGTACCTCCCACAAGGAGTAATTCGCTTGTCGGGGGTAAAGCTGCGGATCCGAATTTGGAGTCGACGGCAGAACATATCCATGTTTTGGCATTGATATTGAAAAGTGAGTTGCAGCTTCTGGTACCGCTTGTAACCGTCTTGGGTTGTACCCAAGACGGTTACAGGAGCAGTGACTAGCGCAGCCACAGCAATGCCAAACCAATGTTGTTTCTCTCCAAGACGAACGAGTTCAATTGAATGACCTTGAAAAGTTGGAAAGTTCGGCTTTCCAAGTTCGCGGGCTAGCCGGGATTCCATCTCCAAGCCATACTTAGCGGAATCATCATTTAGCACCCACCTCCTTCTATGACATAGAACTTATATTGCAGTCTCAATGATTTATGTAGGTACAATGCTCTCCTTCAACCAAATTTCAGGCGCTAATTTACTTTATGGGCATTGTTGTCGCTAATGTGCCTGAAGGAATCGTCGCCACTGTTACGGTTTGTTCTGCTGATTACAGGAATTGCACAAAAGAGAAAAACCGAAAAAACTTTAACTAATATATCACTTAAGTCGGATTTCCGATTTCTTCAGTCGAATCATGGCATTTTAATTCGAACTTCAGTAAAACTCTCGTCACTGTAGTTACTAAATACAGAATGATTAGCGCATGCAAGCCCTACCATAGAATCACTCACTGCCGCCTTCCACCCGTGCCACTTCCTTACCACATTCGGTAAGATTCGACTTAACTAGTGTCCGTAGAGACCAAGAGAGCGATAAAAAGCACTCTTCAGTCTCTGCATTACTACTTCACATCACTTGTGTTTGAGTGCTCTACCATTAAGACAAGAAGCGACAAATTTGAACGTCGCACTTTCCTAGCAACCCAATCTCCCCTGTCAGAGAGAATCACCATTGTGTCCACCGTAAATGCTCTTATGTGAATATTCGGTCTCACTTATGTAACACAAGCCATTATTAACTCTCTGCTGCTTTGCTATGCTGGACACCAACTTCGTGAAAAACGAACGAGCTCATCCAGTGGGAGTGGATGCGTTGTCACATCGTATCATTGATCGTATTGGTCATCGCTGCTACACATGAGGGGTCTTTTTTCAAAATTCTCCTCACTGTCTTGATCACAAAGATGTGAAGGAAAGCTCGAGATTTTAGTGAACCTCAATGCGGCCAAGTACTGGAAGTAACTCAAATAGCTAATTCCCGGAGAACGACCGTTGTGCGCGTCCGTCGAAAGTAGGTCACCCCGCCCACTTCGCGCGCGGCGCACNACACTGAGGTCTCGAGATGGCACTACAGCACACCAAGTGTCAGTGGAGCGGATGATTTGCATTTACCTGTGTTATCTTCTCTTTGAACTGACTGCCGTGGACCAAGCGCAAAGCGTATTCCGCACTGACAACTGCGACGTCTGTCAATTATCGCGGGCTGACTCGCCGCGTGCGGCAACTGCGGCGTGACCTAGTTCCGACGGACGCGCGCAACAAAGCGCATCCCTAATTCCCCTCATGCTATTCCCCGAGTTAATTTTGAAGAGCGAGCACATAAACCAGTCTGATGTACAATAGTAACAAAGCAGTGAGCTTATATTCAAGCAGTGCCCAGAATCATATAAGACTCCGAGTTATGCGTGCGAAGCAGTGACGGTCCAGCTCTGTTACGATGAGACGCGTATCAAGAAGAAAAACTATTGTTCAAAAAGGAACGGAAAAAGGTGTACAGCCTAGGAGCCGTGGTTTACCTGGGTTAGAATGAGCCATTGATTTCAGGTATGTTTAACATTAACAGCTGTAAAAATGAGAAGGAAACATTGCTTGGTGAAAAATCTCGAAGCGGTCGAGACACTTGGTTCGACGTCGACTATTTGTTCAGACAAGACAGGCACACTAACGCAGAATCGAATGACCATTACGCATTTGTGGTGAGTGCATTCTGCATTCTTTAACAACACCAGCTTTAATTACGCGAAGTAATGAAGCTTCACAGAATCTTGCATGGGTACAGAAGCTTTAAAAGTAGTATGATTAGGGCTGGAATGTGGAATTTGACTACAAATTTTGTAGTGAAGAAGTATTTGGACGATGTCCAATGTGCATGGCACTGCGGACAGCGGGCTACAGTAAGCTGATTGCAAACAACGTGGGTGACTCGGTGTGGATGGTGCAACCTTTACGATATTCATAACGCCGTGCGAACTCGTCCACCTCTGGGTGGGCACGCCGACTGAGCCGGTTTTAGGGCTCTTGTCACGTTCTAGTTAGACCGTCTTTTGATTCGACAGCGTCCCTTGTGCTATGGTGGTCACACGTTCATCTTAGAGAGAAATATCAGTAAGGTTTTGATCGCGAACTGTGCCTTCAACAGCTTATTTTTCAAGGTGCGATGGTAAAATCGATGAAGCAGAACAATGTCTTCCAAATGGGAAACTTCGTGGCAAAAAGAAGCATCGTATGGAAGGCACATTCAAGTTGTTGATTCGTTGTGCAGTGCTGTGTAGCAGGAGCAAGTTCAAGGTGTGTTTAAAATCATCTTGCGCAGAGTTCTAGCAGAGTGATGATTGTACGAAGTTTATTGGAATTCGTACGAATAAATCGTCTTCAGAACGAGGACTTCTCGGTACCCCTTCCCAAAAGAGAAGTGGCTGGTGACGCATCGGAGACAGCCATCATGAAATATTGTGAGTTGCTGCTCGGAGATGGAGGAACGAAGAAAATGCGTGATAAGAAACCAAAGGTCGCGGAGATTCCGTTCAATTCCACCAACAAGTATCAGGTATGTGTACAAAACGGATATTTTATATTCCATGTCGGATTTTCCGTTAATCTCGGCCTGATAAAAACAAATTTGTCGTTAGTTTGCTTAGCCTCCGAGATTGTTATTATAATAACGCTTTTCACAGCTTATGTTTTGGGTAGGGATGCTTTATAACTGATAGATTTCCTTTTTACATCTCTGCATAGGAATAGGTGAATGAGTAAGAACTATTCTTGAGGCTTTTCGCTTATATGGTCCATGGTACCAAAAACCGAGTTTATGAAGTTAGCTAGAGAGGTCCTGCAGACTCCTTCTCACTCGTAATGGAACGTTTGGGGGACGTCGTTGCTGTGTCAGCTTACCCCCTGTTGCAACCTACAGCGAGCGCCCCTCGTCGTAGCGCTCCATTCCTAGCGTTGAGTCATTCCCACTGGGAATCTTCTGGACTTCTGACTACGAGTGAAGTTCTCGCAAAGCGGGAACGCGCTACTATTTGTGGAGGTAGGTGAGGGCTTTTTCTGTGCAAGGGAAATTACAGCTGTTCCATGATGAAAGTGATGACAGTTATATGTATACTTTTTCATCATCTTACCCAAATCTCGCAACTCGCTGTTCGCCGCTATATTCTCGACCACCAAATGCTTGTCAGAGGTGAATCACATGTCCACTCCCCGTCTCCGGAGTTTCGTTACCAATCTCAGAGCACGGATGAGGGCGTCTTCGTAACGCTGCAATAGCTCCAGTTCATCAATGACACGTGTTTTCTTTTCTGGTAGGATACGTAGCGCAGGACTATGCCCAATACTTCCGCAGTAGTAGCATCTCGTGTTGTTTCTCTCAAATCGTCGCGATACACTGCCATGGTCCAACAATGTACATAGTTGACTACCTACATAGACGAAGTCATTTATTACAGGTCTCCATCCATCAAAATGGCGATCGTTATTTGTTGGTAATGAAAGGGGCACCGGAAAAAATCCTCAAAGTGTGTTCAACTCTGCTAATCGAGGGCAACGAAAAAAACAAGGACAAGAGTTTTGAAGAAGACTTTGTTAAGGTACGTCCCTGCATGGCTACATTTCCTAACTACAATTATATGAAAGTAGAAGAATTCATTGTCCACCGCTTTACTGTTTTCTATTATAGGCATACGAAACGTTGGGAGGCTTCGGAGAACGTGTGCTAGGATTCTGCGATCTAGAAATGGACCCCGAAAAGTTTCCCAAAAACTTCGTCTTCGATACGGAAAATCCAAACTTTCCGCTCACAAGTGAGGACTCTTGGCAGTTTCGATCAAAAACTGTTCTCAAAACCTTCTACAGAAATGCAAGCATGGCTTGAGAGAAAAAATTTAAAAGTCATGAAACTTGAAAACGAATAAATACGAAATAGATGTTAGAATGTGAAAAAACAACATCAAAACATTGCAATAACAATGGAACAGAAAGAAAATCAGATAGCAATGTCCAGTAAAATATGGAATACGAAATGCGAAATGTTCCGGAGAAACTGACCAGAATGAGAACATTTTCAGATTTACGATTCCTTGGCCTTATGTCAATGATCGACCCACCGCGACCTGGAGTTCCACAGGCTGTTCAGTTGTGTCAGTCAGCCGGAATCAAGGTGGGCGAACAGTCTCTTTTGGGTGAACATCCGCGCTCCAGCAACATCTAGCAAACCCCGCTTTCTGTAAATATCTACAGTAGCGCTCAAAAGTATTCGGCCAACTTTAACTTGCCGTAAGTTTTTTCCCAGTGGAGCAAATCGTATGAAATCTTGATACGTGCGACTGGAGCATATTTCACACTATCCAACACTATTCAACTGCAAAGCACAATGTCCACATAACTAAGGGGAAGGCGTTTGTAGACTATGCTGAAAGCAAGTTTGTGACGTCTGCAGTTATTCGGANTTCTTCTCTTCTGTGTTCGGCATTAGCGCTCGTACACTTTGGACATGGCAAAAAGGAAAGAAATCCTAGTAGAACAATATTCTTTTTGATATTTGGAACATGATCGGGATGCAGGTTAATAATGTTAAATATTCACACTACATCCTTGCTACACATATTGAAATTTCGCTTGATTAGATTCAGTAATAAAGGAGTTATGACTGAAAAGTACGAGTGAAGAAGCATTTGACTGAATACTTTTGAGCGCTACTGTACATGCTCGCAATGGAACGAGGTGATAGCATTAGCAGAATGAATGCTACCTCAACGATCCTTTACTGCGAATGGAGTAGAAAATAGAGGTTGAGGAGGGGTGGGAGTTAATATAACACAAAATCCCTCTTTTGTGCTTACTCCATGAAATGAGGTAATGTGTCAGAGTTCACCTATTGCTTACTTGACTGTTGTTCATGAGCCGTGTCAAAGAACTTATGAATTGAAGTTTCAACTTCCCTCTCTCCTCCGCTCGAACAATCTTGGTTACATTCGAGATCCCCTCATCAGAAGTGCTTTTCCTTCCAGTCACTAATGACATTCATGTCAGGTAGTTATGGTCACTGGAGATCATCCAATAACTGCAAAAGCAATTGCTCGTCAAGTGCATATCATCTCTAGGAAAGCACGGGTGAGTTCCCTAACTATTTATCTAAATTGATTTTGGGAGGAAAGCCTGCGTTAGCCAACGTTAGCCAGTTAGGTTGTTATCAGGAAACGAGTATATTCGCAGTAGAGTAACAGTTCCCAGGAAACTCAAAGGCGTACATTAGGTATGGGTGTAGTAGAAAAAAAATTCAAATGCACATACTGGTGTAACGAAATCACTTGTGCCAAGCGTGTGAGTAAACTATCACTAAACCCTCCTGTCATGAGATGTTGGTCAGCATCAGGTATTGAAGGGATGTTTAAGTCACAAGTTCACCTACCCATTGTGATTTCTCATATGGCACAGTTCCGGATGTGACAGAGAAGAGGGAAGTGTTGTGTGGGTAGCTCCAACGGCATTTCTCGAAGCGATGTCTGCCAGCGAATAGTCATTTACTTATTCAGTTCTTTTTCTAGGTGACAGAGCTCATTGAAGACGATGAGCAGGCGTCAGAGCATGAGACTTTTGGCAAAGGAAGGTAAACCACTACGAGTGTTAGGTTTTTTTATTGAGCTACATATGTTTTGCATAGTTCAGATTACTTAACACCAAAGCCATAATTGTTCATGGGGAACAACTTAAATTGCTCAGCGGAAGCACCTTACGAGAAATTGTCGGTAACTACCAACAGGTAACATTTTTTTCTCGAATGAAATTAGTTCAGCAGAAATTAGTTTTAGAAGCATTAGGTAGAGTATCGGTTTCGGAAATTCTGTTCTCTCTCAGTTTAATAGTTGGGCTATATTCCTGTCCATAATCGTTGAGGCCCTTAAAACGAAGTAAGACATACCTTCCAGCTGTAACGAAATGACGACGATAATACAACGAATGTTCTGGACACAACTGTGATTGAAACACCGTGTCGCATTCAGTCCAGAAATCGGGCCCAGATGGATACAGCATCACTGGCCCCACATTAACTATTTCCTATTCATAGGTTGGGCATGAACAAGAAACACAAAATGCACGAAATTGAAGAGAACTGAATTGCACGGTGAATCAAAAAGCATTTCCTGGTATCACGCGATAAGAAGAGATTTATGTGGAAGACCGAACTGAGATGTCGCTTCAACTTATAGAACTCGAATAGGTTCCGTGGTAGGAGTAAGTAATGTAGGGCCGATTCCGTGCAGGGCGGTACTTCGAATTATAAGATGTCGCATTTTTGTACCATGAGTAGCTTCTCCTAACACCCTCAAAATAAGTTGTAGTGCGAGAGGGATTCCCCTCTGAGAACATACTATCCCGTTCAATGAGCATGTCGCCAGGTTTGGCTGCGTAGGTGGTACGGAAAGTATCGCAAGCAGTTGATTGAGTTGTTCCCCTAGTTACTTGCAGAGCCTTTCTTGTTCACTTCCATCACTATACCCAATCAGCCCGACTATGGGCCTGATAGATGATCGCTCCTCGAGAAAAAGTAAGCGACTACATGAGATCACAATGTCCCTGTTGCTGGGCTTTTTGTGCCTTAACATATGTAGAGCACCCAGAAATCGCATCTCTTTTGTGTGGAGCGAACCATGAAGCAATCATTGATGCGAGAAAAGTGAAGCGTTGGGAAGGGTTTCAGTACAGGCGCTTCCATTTTTGTCTAGCGTATCGTTCCATGCTTGGGAATCGCCCTATAGAATTATACTATTCCATCGGGCACGACCGATATTGAATGTTAAAGGTCGTCTTTGCTCGAACTTCACCAGCGCAAAAGCTCCAAATCGTTGAAGCATACCAACTAACAAACAACGTCGTCGGGGTTACTGGTGACGGTGTCAACGATGCGCCAGCACTCCGAAAAGCTGACATAGGTAAGACATTAGAATACATTAGCGTTACCCTCACTAGCTTTGAAAAAGCTTTGTAAATTTCTTAAAATGTCTCGATTCAAGGGATTGCCATGGGCATCGCTGGAACCGATGTGTCAAAGCAGGCAGCCGACATGATTCTTCTCAACGACAACTTTGCTTCCATTGTTACCGGTGTTGAGGAGGGACGATTGATTTTCGACAATCTGAAGAAAAGCATTGCTTATACGCTGACCTCGAATATTCCGGGTAAGAACATATCACAGTTTTATGTTAAAGGCACAGTCCGCCTTAACAATGGTTCCTACGATTTTCTTCCGAGATTATCCAATGGCTCCCAAGGTAACACAAAGACGACCGAAGATGGATCAGACGAGGGTGTATGTCGTTTGGCGCGATGAGCGAGGTCGCGCCGTCTATTTGAGGCGGTTTGTGGGGCGGACAACTTGTTCAGATCTGGCAGCCCTTTGCCTGTCCTCTCCAGCTGATAGAAGCGCGACAAATGAGGCCGCTACTATTAGGCGCCGAATTGCGAACCTGCTTGTATTCTGCCTACA